CTATAGACACACACTTATAGAACAAAAAATATCAAATGAATCGAACAAGCAAAAGATCTATAGTTCACATGTAATGAATGTGTAAAGCCCAAATTTTGGACAAAATGTTTAGAACTGGAAATCACAAAAATTTGAGTGTACCTGTGTTAGCAGAAATGCTGAAAGTAGCTGGTTGGCCTCGAGCTATAGGATCAGGAGATATATCAACTCCTTGGACCATAACTTCATGCTCTTCGTTATTATCTGAAAACCAAACACATAACCAATCAGATCGACAAGATTCTTGGTTTTTCAAATAGAACCAATATCAAAGACATTGAATTTCAACTCAATCAACAGTTTAAAATCAAATTCATCTTTAGAAAAATCAAATTTGCAACGCAGGATAGCTCACAGACAAAATCAAATTCTCAATCCTATAACAACGAACACAGTTACGGTTTTGGGAGAATTCGTAAGGACCAAAACCAAACATACCGCAGTAATGGACATCGGTGGCTCTGACAATAGTAGAGACGAAGAGAAAACAAGAGATAACGAGAGAAAATCTCGACATGATTGATAGATTCTCGGTGCAAAAAGAAGCGAATTTACAGAGTTTCAGATGATGATGATTGGAGGACGACGAGGAGACTTAAAAACAAGCAAGAGAGACAGAACCAGAACTGCGGAATCGGGATTCTGATTTCTCAAGGAATGTCGGATAGATCTTAGCCGTTTATTTAGGTAGGTCCCTGATTTCTGCAAATAAACGGTGGGGATTTCGTAATTAATCTCTTAACAGTGTGGTTAACCACATAGGATTAGTAGTGAACCAATCGTTAGGTGGGATTTTTAATTGTTACATAGTTGGAATTTTGCGAGCTCAGATTTAATACAGCACACAATTGACAATTATTTTGGATAAAACTAAAAAAATAATTTCCATAGTTCAAATATTTCTCTTTTCCAACACGAAATCTAGAGATATTTTGTTTTTCACTAAAAATAAATTAATTCTAGAAAATTTATAAATGTTTCAGTATTATCTAATTAAATTATTTATCAGACGACACCCACATTGTGACACCTAAGAAATGTAAACCCAATATACACTTCCATGACTGGTAAAACAATCATAATTAACAAAAGAGAAACATTAATGATCAGATACCATAATTTTTAACATAAGACCACGCTCTTATTTTATTAGTCATTTTAGTCTAAAACAGAAGTTAGGTGATGAGTGCACATGCAAAAGAATATATATTCACCATATAATGAACTTATTATATCAGTTGTATAAAAGATAGAAATTGTTAGCTTCTTCAATCTCTAACAGGGAAGTAACGAAGATGCATAATTTAAAAAACCATCGAATAAAACAAACCATGTTCTCAAACAATTGTATATAATGCTATAGGCTTTCAAGTTTCAAGTGGATGTAAAAATCAATATTTGTTTTATTTTAGTCGTGA